AGGTCGGAATCGTTTGTCGTCTGTTGTCTTTGTATTGACGAACGAAGTCGAGGACAGCTTCCATCAAATAGGAACCACATTATAGGGTTCGGACCCCACTACAACACTTATTTAGTGTGAATTTAAGAGGCACCTTTATACTCCTGGAAGTGTGAAGCCTGGAAGCTCCTTCACTGATAGCGCTCCACACAACAAATTCTAACGGTTTACAGAGGTGTGCCTGGCTCTGCTGGTTACGACCATGACCGGTCTGGCACTTGCTTTGGCCCTGGTGCAATATGGAGCCAATCTGGAGGTGGCAGCATTAAATGCAAAAGCGGAAAAGCCCGAAGTTTCCAAACCATCGACCAATCTAGTCGTCCTTCCTCGAAGGCCACATCGCTACCCACCACACCATCCGACGCTGCTGGCAGCTTAACCGTGGAAAGCCTATATGAAACTTCCCCGCACTTTTCAACATGTGGGCCCCTTTTTTGACTACCGTTCACGTTATTTTCAATGTCGCCTCCACTGGCCCCTTATACTGTGCGGACAGTCTATGCCATGAATGAAACAAACGACGCTAAGTGGTTTAAAACGGCAATTTCTGACAAAATCGTTTTCAGTCGTTTTTTGGCAATAAGAAGGCCATTTAGCGGAAATGGACCATAGGTTTATACTCAGTGCTCATGCCCCTATACCATGCAAAAAACCATTTTCAAAAAGCGTCCCACGCCCTGAAAGACCTTCCTTGTCAGATCGGGCGATCGTGGGGCCATTGAATATCTGCAATCCTACTGATCAGCGGCTAGGGGGAAAATGTTTTTCAAAGGGATCAAAAGGATGACTGTAAGACCTGCCGTACTGAACTTTCGTTTTTGTCTGAGTGACCGCTTAGGTCCCTCACAGCACACTCCTTCCTCTCAACCAGCTTTGTTAAGACCTTTTTCTCTGGCCTACTGAGATTTTCATTAAAGTTCTTAAGACTTGTTGCAATGCATGACCAAAGATCTGCTTCTGTGTGTGACTTTTTAATACATACAATCAATCGGGCGCTTTGACTGCTCCTCCCTGTATTGGAAATATGCTTCGTTTCTCAATCAGTTCAAACCTGGATAGCAGGTCCGAGTGAAAGGCCACTTGTGAGTCCAGCTGTGCCGAGTGATACAGCCCGGATTCTATCTTCACTGGTACTAGCTGTAGCGATGTAGCTTCGCAACACGCCAAGAGTACCTACAGATGAAACGGTTAGAATACTTCATTTCTCGGACAGGCACAACAGTATCTTCGTGTATTGCTGCTTTCGGCATGCCTCAGATCATTTTCAACAGCAACGGGAGCACAACTGCACTGATTATCCAGTAAACTACTCCACTGCTCTGTTTGAATAGTCGCCACCACCATGTTAAACCACGACTAATCCACACACTTTTTTTTAAGAGTAACGTGATCAGGTATTATCATAATTTGCGCCCTTGTAAAGTCGTTGCCAGCACGACTCCAATACTAACAATTCATCAATACATAACCATAATTATGTTCATGTAAACTTTTACCTGCTCCGAATCCTGTGAGAAATCTCGCTGTCAACATGGCCCATTTCGCTTCTGGAGAAAGCAAGGGGAGCAAAGAATAGATCAAATTCCCTGTAATAGCGATAAGTTACTTCCTCTAGGCTTACTAGACACTATGAAATTGTATGTGTGAATCTGTTTACTGCTATTTTATTTGCCCTTATGATGATCATAAGTAAAAGTTTGCATGATGAAACTTTGCCCTTCAAATCCATTGATTCCTTTTTCACTGTTGTTTGCGCCAACACAATTTCCGCAGGTCATGGTATCTTTATTAAACATCACAGTTTTCTTTCTCAGGGAGTTGATCCATCTTATTATGAAGGTCACTAATAAGATGAGTCAACTCCCTGAGAAAGCATGGGGAAGGTGGGGTAGCGCTGTTTGAACGGAGGAAATTACTGAGGAGTCGCTGAAAAAGACGGTCTACCACAGACCCACATTATGACGAGATGGAGTTACATTTTTTTCCCTGTTCTCTCCTATTCGAAGATATATGACGTCCAAGAGAGCGAAGGAAAGCAGAAAAAAACTGCGCCGCAGAGTAAAACAGAAGTGGCAAAAGTACAGGAGCAAAACTAACCAAGAGCACAAACACCGAAACCAAATGTGATAGGCAGTTTAGTTGACAGAGTTCGCTGATTCCAATATCCAAAAAGTGGATTAGCCTGAAATGACCAAAGAAAGAAGAAAATGGTATATAGGAGTTGTTCGTGGCCTTCGAGGCTGTACGGAAACTACCAGTAACCTACAATAGCGCATCCCAGACTGCATGCTGCTATAACCCATCCAAAAAAGTTGATCGTTGCCGATGAGTCAATCTGAAAAGCACAAAGTAATTCCAGTCTGAACAGTTCTTACATAGAGCGTGTAAACTGGTTTCGATCAAGAAAGGTTCCACATGAGCCTCGCCTCCACTCAGCATGGGCTCACGTGGAAGGGCAGTGCGGAGATGCAAGATGCCTTTTTTACATACTGGGGTCTGTACTGAATGGACAGTGTTTCTTATTGTACCAAAGTTATCAGGCAACATGTGAGTGGAGTAATTTGAATGGAAATTTTCGATTCCGAGTCCATCGGTGGGTAATTTTACAACTCCTCGTTTTCTATTCCCCATAACTGCCTTCACACTGTAATCGTCGGAGGGCACAATCGAAGGAACAAACTTCTCTGAGATACTGCCACGTCGACATAAAGTAAATGCTCATTTGAACTCCTGTCAAGGCCAACATGAAGGCTGCTGCGAGCACTGAAAGCCATGGCGTTCTTCGATTTTCCAAATCGCTAGAAAAGGCAAAATTGAATTGATCGGTGGAAGTAGTCTTGATCAATCGCTACAGTTTCCAGCCTATTATACTCAAAGAGATCGGGGAATTGTGAGGATGTTCAACATTTTTTGTGCCACTATGCATACTTCAAACATTCCAACATAAGATGATACGCCTAAGAAGAAAGATGTGAACGCACATGCTGAATATATATTATGCACATATTACCTTATAATTATAAGAGTCTTACTGTGAAGCAAAAAATGAAGAAGACGGTACGAATTACTCGACTATCTAACGACTGTTAATGAGTGGCTCTGTTCCTTGACGGCAGGAGTTCACGATAACTTTGAGGTACCCGTTTTCATTGGAAAAGCGGAAGTATAGGTACAAACTGTTGGGATAATTCATCGGTAGTAAAGAAAGCGAGAGAATTCACCGATTCAAGAAAAAAAGGCTTTTCAATAGTAGATGAAATAGAGGTTGACCGAGATTAACATGACGGATACAACACAGAAGGGACAGTCGGACGAGATTTCAGTTGTTGCAATTGCGCAAAGAGCTGACTATATTTAGCCAGAACTGTACAAAACTGCCTTTCACTGTCGCTATGAGTTACGATAAGTTGTTTGAAATTCCTACATGGATTCACTTATGAGTGGTGCAACTTCTACACTGCTAGAGAAACTCGTCCGAGGATACGCAATATAATCTTTGAGCCCAACGCCCTAAGTAGAAATAGGCCTTTTCCGAACTGGTAGCGTTAGAAATGGTATATGAGGGGTACCAATTCATCCTATGGAAAATATTAGAAACCATTTTTATTGTGAACTGTGGTTTTAAGGCGTGCCAAAGATGTTCGAATTAAACCTAGGATTTATGAAATCAAAGCGATTAGTGCACTACTGAACATAGTGAATCCTTACCATTTCTGTTTGGTCGTCATTCGTGAGAACAGCGTTGAGCATGAGTGCGTAACTTTTTTTGTAGGATCATCCGTCTCATTTGCATAATTTTATGCAGTGACATTTCTCTGACTCCGTCGGCTTTCGTACTAAACGTTCAAGAACCAGCCGATGACAAAATACGTTGTATACTGGATGACTCTTCACTATTTTCTATTTTTCTTTGTATTTTTGTGAAGAATCTTAACCGCATTCTTCAATTACAGTTTTAAAGTCAGCTCTGCTCCGCCTACAGTGTCGGCGCCGGAGGCATGGCAGTACTCGTCCTCAAACATTTTGATGGGCGTCCACAAAGGTGGCAAGATGCGTTCAAGTTTTCTTACAATCTTAACGAGCTCACTCGCTTTTGATGGTGTGGCCATGTGGTGGAGTGTTTGTCTTCCAGTGTCTCTCTTCCTCATAAACCTTTTCCGCTTCTGGTTGGCATCATGAAAAATCTCATTCGCCATCATCCTATCAAATCATTGAAAGCACAATTCAGAAAGATTTTGAGGTGCCTTTTCCAGGTGAGAAAGGGAAGTGTTGATGTAGAGGAGTACATCGGTTTCGAAGAAAGCGATAAAATCCGCCTACTTCAAGACTTTTTAAAAGTAGTGGAAGTGGAGATTGTACGAAATCACCGTGACCGGAATGGCATGTAGGATGTGTTTGGACGAGATTAACCCATTGTGCAAAGGGATGACTACATCTAACCATGACTGCCCAAAATTGGCTTTCACTGTCGCTGGGTCATGACAAGTTGTTTGGTCTCCCTTCATGAAAATCTCTTGAGATAGTGGGAGATACATAGCCTATACAAAGCCGTTCGAACTAGTTCACGATGGGTGTGGCATTCACACGATACAATCTCTGGCCGCTTATTGTGTCCCATCCATGACGCTTTTCAACTTTATAACGGCAGATATGGTATAAGGAGCAGCCTAGAATTCATGCTAGAGAGCAATCTCAGAATCCATTTTTATCGTTGGCTGTGCTTCTAAACGTTGGAATTATCAGTCATTTGCTGTAGTATACATTGAACGATGTAATAAAAAAATTCCCAAAATGAATTTCATTGGTCTGGCAGAATGACCAGAATTCACATAGATTTTCGATCTAAAATAAGTTGTGTTCCAATAAGCTCCTTTGCTGGCTCACGCAGTGAATTGTTGGTTGTTTGGAGCCAAAACATGCGATTTTTCACGCCACATCATCCAACGGTACTTTGTCTTATCAAACTACTTTACAAATCGAAGATTCCAATTTTGTCGAACAGGTGGTCTCTGATGGATGACGTCGATTTTCACAACACTCACTTAGAAACAATATTTTCGAACTATGTTTCAAGTGAGCCGAACCCATAGAATAGTTTATGGATGAGAGTGTGAAGCTAAGCGCAGACTGGGAAAGGGCACCAAGGGTTCAAAACAGCTGCTCGGATTTTGGCAGCCTCGTACAGTCTTCCGGATTTCAGGCGCAAGCACTAATGGCTACATGCGAGTGCCTTATTTTGATGGATTGGATTCCTTCAGTTCTGCCGCTTGAAGTCAAAAGTATCAACTTGTTGTTCGTAAATGACTCAAAGAATGTGGAGTTTGAAAGAGGAACTTTCGAGTTAAGTGCCATGTTGGATGGTCTAGGCAATGATATGCTCGGCAGTGCCCCTATGACCCTCTGCCGTCTGATTTCCATCTCTACCATCCCCTTAACAAAGCCTTTGCAAGAAGAAGTTTTCAATATTAATCCCATTTAATTCCTTATGCCACGACATTTTGTTTTGAAGGAAATGTCAAGCCTGGCTTCGGAAAGATTATCGCCAAAGAGCCTTGCTTATGGGCTCATCAAACACTTTATCAGTAGATTTCCTTTTTTCTGTACTCTTTCCTAAACATAATCTTCAGTGGTATTTAATATGGTTAGGCCAGTGAGAGTTTCTTTCAGCTATATAGTTTTGATTGATTTCTCTATGATTGCACATGAATACCTCAAATTGGCTCAAGAAAGGACACAGACTAAAGTTCAGGCAAGAGCTTGTTATGAGAAAACAGACAGCAGAAACAAATGTGGTCTCGTTCTTCTGGTTGTCAGATCCTGTGCAATGCTGAAATGGACAAGACTATAAGGTCCCCAAGGTTTTTTCCAGCATCCCTCCGCCTTTTACCTTTTTGCCATTGGCACGCTATTCGACGTCTTCCAATCCTTGACACTCTATTCCTGAGCCTATTTGTGCCTTTAATGTGATTCAGAAGTTTTAGTTAGTTCTTTTTAGGTACTAGTCACCCTTAAATAATTCAATATTTCCCATTTTCGGTCTAAGTTAGTCAGTTCTACGGCTAAATAATGCTAAATTCGAAACGAGATTTTGACCATTGTTTTTTCAGGTGATACTAATTCCAAATCGACAAATACCGAAAAGAAGAAGAAGAATATGTTTAATCAGAAATTTGCCTGTTGTTAGGTTGTATTTTACGTCCGTTGATTTCGATCAGCATTTTACGAATTTTCGAGGCCAACCAATAAAGCCATAAAAATAGACTCCTACAGTTGCATTTCGAGTCCTGAATATGACTAAACACATGACTGGGCAAGTGCCTTGTGCTCAACGAGTGGTGCAGGGAAACATGAAAGTGTCAACTTTAAAAGTGCGTTATATCAATATCGAACCATTAAAGGGACGAAGCCGTTTGTTGACAAAATCACTAAACACTTTCAAAACATCGGAACACGGAACATGGGAGTGAGCGTGGAGCTGCAGATTCCTGCAAAAGACGCTATAAAAGGTCCGAATTGAAGTAGAGGTAGCCTCCCTTAACCGTTTCATCATTAATAAACAATTAAGAGTATATCGGAGAGAAAAGATCAGGAAAAAGAGGGCAGGCAGGGTGCAGTTTAACTACTTGGCCCTGTTGACGAAATGCTCAGTAAGTCATGGGCTACAGAAATGAAGCCATTAGGTGAAGCCTATTTGAAAAGTTGGAAAACTAGACATCTATTGAAGAGAGCATCCTCGGACCTAGCATTTTTGCCCACTATGTACATATTTTCCAATGCCCGAGTGCTCCAATTCACTGAGTCCCCAGAAAGAGATACCGAGAAGCATTTGCCATTGTAATAGTGAGCTGCGAATTCAGGCTCATACTCGAGGTCCAAAGAATCACGCAGGCAGGTGGAGTGGGCATTGAAATCCGCCAAAAATTTCAGCATGAAAATGTGAGGACTTCGAACTACCAACAAACTTCTATCTAGAGTTGTTCATAGGTTACCGCTAAAGGCGAATTAAAATACTATTCTAATGCGAAGAAAGTCGTTTGCGCCTTTCAGAACCTCCCCAGAGGAAGGATGAAGGAAAATTCAGTCATCATAACTCTAGGCGCTGGATTTTGTCGTTTACCGAGACAACATGGAGGCCATTTGGATTACATCTTCGATTCGCAAGTGAATGTGAGCGCAAGACCAGTTCTGCCTGGGATGGAGGTGAATCATTTCTTGCAATTATCTTCAGTACAATATTTTTTGATGACCGAATTATCCTTGCTGGAACTTCAAAAAAAAGTTTTACGGATGAAAACAGACAATAGAGCATCATTAAGAAGAGGCTGGATTGAAAGAGCAGAACGGCGGCAAAATGCTCTTCAGTTAGACAGAATTTCTAAGTGATAAAGCAACTTAGAGACTGAGCCTTCCTGAAAAACTCCTCTTCAGCTGTTTATACTCCATGTAAAATCTGTAGTTTTGTGAACACAATATCCATTTTTCTGTTTACTTTCCTTTCACTGAGAACTACCCCATTGGCTGAAATTTTATCTCCAGGATATGGTTTGCAACATTTTCTCGAGTTCGACAGCAATAGCAACCAGTTCGATAGATAAACGCGAGGGATTATACCGTAATCTCACGTCACCGCGAACTTCCACAAACACTGTTATCTACAGCACTGATATGAACATTGAAGACAAAAAAGTTGTCACAACAGCGGTCATAGAGAGATTATACAACATTTTTCTAGGAAACACAAGTTTATCAAAAACGTCTTCTTGCCGGAAGCAGAATTACTCAAATATTACTCAGCTGGAGAAAATTGATTGAAAGGCTTTGCCTACAGTAAGATACCGGGTTGTTTGTTCTTTTCCCTCGGCTGGAGAGAAGCTAATGAAACTTCTAATGTGGGAATCTTAGAAATAACTTACATGATGACTCCATCTAGGCGATATCAACAAACGCTCATATTACAAATGGTACCCGAATTCACGACATTTCAAATTAGTAAAGGAACCCAATCAATAATATTGCTATAATAATGCTACTTGCTCTATCGACACTCTCCACACCCTTCTCAGTGGTAGACCAAGGCAAAGTTGGCTGGGTGGGATTTGTACTTGCTGGTGTTGGCAACATCGAAGAGCTGGAACTGGGTGCAACGGTCGACGTAGACTCAACAGGAGAGATTGAAGTAGTAGGGAATGAAGAACTGCTCTGCGCTCTTGAAGAGGTCGATGTTGAAGAGTGAAACTTGGGAGAAAATGATCCAGGGGAAACTGTTGTGGTTGGAGTAGATGTTGAGGTCACTTTGAAACTAGGAGTAGAAGGTGCTTCCGTGAAGTATGGAGTAGATGTTAAAGGCCCCCCGGAACTAGGAGTAGAAGGGGTTTCCGTGACGGTTGGAGTAAATGTTGAGGTCACTTTGGAACTAGGAGTAGAAGGTGCTTCCGTGAAGTATGGAGTAGATGTTAAAGGCCCCTCGGAACTAGGAGTAGATGGAGCCTGAGTAGGTGTTTCTGTGGCTGCCAAAGTAGATGTTGAGGGCACCTTGGAACTAGGAGTAGAAGGTGCTTCCGTGACGTGTGGAGTAGATGTTGAGGTCACTTTGGAACTAGAAGTAGAAGGTGCTTCCGTGAAGTATGGAGTAGATGTTGTAGGCTCCTCGGAACTAGGAGTAGATGGAGCCTGAGTAGAAGGGGATTCCATGACGGTTGGAGTAGATGTTAAAGGCCCCTCGGAACTAGGAGTAGATGGAGCCTGAGTAGGTGTTTCTGTGACGGCTAAAGTAGATGTTGAGGGCACCTTGGAACTAGGAGTAGAAGGTGTTTCCGGTACGGGTGAAGCAGTTGATGGAGGCACCTCAGGGCCAGAAGTAGATGGAGCCTGAGAAGGTTGTGTTTCCGGAGCGTGTGAACCAGTGGACGGAGGCACCTCAGGACCAGAAGTAGATGGAGCCTGAGTAGGTTGTGTTTCCGGTACGGGTGAAGCCGTTGATGGAGGCACCTCAGGACCAGAAGTAGATGGAGCCTGAGTAGGTTGTGTTTCCGGTACGGGTGAAGCCGTTGATGGAGGCACCTCAGGGCCAGAAGTTGATGGAGCCTGAGTAGGTTGTGTTTCCG